AACCCCCCCTAAATTCCACCAATATAAAGACATTTGTCTTTGCAAACATACAGGGTCTAAAGCCGTCAAAAAACAACAAAATTCCTTATATCAAGGGACTGCTCACGGAGTCAACTGCAATGTTTGCAGCATTCACAGAGACCCACATAAAGGATCATCATCACAACGAAATATGGATCCCAGGTTATAACCTATTCCGATGTGACAGATTAAACAGGCAACAAGGGGGGGTTGGCCTGTATGACACAGTCGCTCATTTGCACAGAACTACTAAACACCTCATATGATGTAGTTGAAGTTTTGACGGTAAAGATTGAAAACCAAAACCTTGTCATTGTGGTAGTATACAAGCCTCCAGATGCAACTTCCCAGCAATTCCAGGAACAGCTTGAGAAAACTGACCACTGTCTGGAAAATCTTCCAACTCCTGCCCCAAACATCTTGCTACTGGGAGATTTCAACTTGAGACACCTAAAATGGAGGAGAATATCAAACAATGTTTTAGCAGAGATCACCCCGGGAGGCAGCTCAGATGAAAATTCACACTCACGAACTATTAAATCTCTGCACCAAATTCACCTTAAACCAACAAATATTAGAGCCTACAAGACTAGACAATACGCTGGACCTCATTTTCACTAACAACAATGATCTGATATATATATATATATAACCGTATCAAAGACAGTTCACTCAGATCACAACATAATAGAGGTACAGACATGTATGCACAGGGATCCGGACCAGCAAAATGTAAGCAGTCATGAAGGTCTCTTCACGAAATTCAATTTCAATAACAAAAACATACAATGTGATCAAGTAAACCATGTCCTAAATGAAACAAGCTGGGAAGATATCCTAAACAACACTGCTCAAAACATTTGCCTTGAAAAAATGAATTCTGTGGTTCTTGAGATCTGCTCGAGACACATTCCATTAAGAAAAAGAAAAAGAAGATGTAAACTAGAGAGAGACGTTCCCTATACAGACGAAGGCGAAGAGTCACAGAGCTGCTGAATGGGACCAATATATCGGAAATGCGAATGGAGGCACTAGACAATGAAATTGCAAATATCGAACTTAGGCTGAAGGAATCTTACAGGAGACAAGAATCACAGGAAGAACTAAAAGCCATAAAGAAAATTGAAAAAAAAGAAATACCTCTTTTCTTATGCCAAATCTAAGGGTAAAACAACATCCAGTATTGGGCCGCTGCTTAGGCGGGATGAAACACACACAGATGACAGCCAAGAAATGAGTGAGATACTAAAGTTCCAATATGACTCGGTGTTCAGCGAGCCGCTACCCAGACAAAGGGTCGACAATCCAAGTGAATTCTTTATGAACGAAGCTCAAAATTTGGACATCCCAAAAATCTCGGATATTATCCTAACTCCACAAGACTTTGAAGAGGCAATGACATGCCCAAGCACTCTGTCCCAGGCCCAGACTCATGGAATGCCATGTTCATCAAAAACTACAAGAAGCCCTTGTCATGCGACTTCAGTATTCTATGGAGAGGGAGCATGGACACAGGGGTCATCCCACACACACTATCAACAAAAAAACTTAGCCCCACTTTACAAAGGTGGCAGTAAAGCAATTGCAAAGAACTACAGACCGATAGCACTAACATCCCATATCATAAAAATCTTTTGAGAGGGTTCTAAGAAGCAAGATCGCCAACCACCTAGATACCCATCAGTTACACAACGCAGGGCAACACGGGTTTAGAGCAGGTTACTCCTGCCTGTCCCAGCTACTTGACCATTATGACAAGGTCCTGGATGCTGTAGAGGATAAACAAAATACAGATGTAGTATACACAGACTTTGCAAAAGCCATCGACAAGTGTGACCATGGTGTAATAGCACACAAAATGTGTGATAAAGGAATAACAGTTAAAGCTGGTAGATGGATCTATAACTTCCTGACAAATAGAACACAAAGAGTAATAGTAAACAGAGTAAAGTCTGAGGCAACCATGGTAAAAAGCTCTGTTCCACAAGGCACAATGCTCGCTCTCATTCTATTCCTCATCCTCATTTCTGAAAGAGATGTAAGCCATAGCTCCGTGTCTTCCTCTGCGGATGGCATCTGGATCACCATGGCAGTGACCTCCATCGAAGACACTGCGAGACTCCAAGCAGACATCAACCAAATCTTCGAATGGGCCACTCAAAACAATATGAAGCTCACTGAGGACAAAATTCAACTACTCAGATATGGGAAATTTGAGGAAATTAAAACTGTATCAGAGCGTAATAGTAATGTGAAGGACCTGGGAGTGATAATGTCAGAGGATCTCGCCTTCAAAGACCACAACAATGTATCTACCTCATCAGCTAGGTAAATGATAGAATGGATAATGAGAACCTTCAAAACTAGCAATGTCAAGCCCATGATTCTTTTCAAATCGCTTGTGCTCTCTAGGCTGGAATACTGCTGTACACTAACGGCCCCCTTCAAGGCTGGCGACATTGCAGATCTGGAGAATGTACAAATAACTTTCACGGCACACATAAGTACGATAAGGCACCTAAATTACTGGGAACGGTTGAAGGTCCTTGATCTGTATTCCCTGGAATGCAGGCGAGAGAGAGAGATGATAATACAGTGGACCCCCGGTTAACGAACTTTTTTCATTCCAGTAGTATGTTCAGGTGCCAGTACTGACCGAATTTTTTCCCATAAGGAAAATTGTGAAGTAGATTAGTCCATTTCAGACCCCCAAACATACACGTACAAACGCACTTACATAAATACACTTACATAATTGGTCGCATTTGGAGGTGATCGTTAAGCGGGGGTCCACTGTATATACTTGGAAGGTCCTGGAGGGATTGGTACCAAACCTGCACACGAAAATCAGGAGGAGATGCAACATTTCCTCGATGAAAAGCAGGGGCACCATGAATATATTCAGAGAGAACACAATAAGTGTCCGGGGACCAAGACTATTCAGCTGACTCCCAGCTTACATAAGGGAGATTACCAATAGACCCCTGGCTGTCTTCAAGAAGGCAGTGGACAGGCACCTGAAGTCTGTACCTGACCAACCAGGCTGTGATTCGTACGTCAGCTTGCATGCGGCCAGCAGTAACAGCCTGATTGATCAGACCCTGATCCACCATGAGGCCTGGTCTCAGACCTAGCCGCAGGGGGCGTTGAGCCCCAAAACCCTCTCCAGGTAAACTCCTTTAAGATTCCTTCAGCTTAAGTTTGATATTTGCAAATTCATTGACCAGTGCCTCCCTTCGTATTTCAGATATATTGGCCCCTCTCAGCAGCTCTGTGATTCTTCGCCTTCGACTGTATAGGGAGCATCTCTCTCTTTCTAGTTTACATCTTCTCTATCTTTTCTGTAATGGAATGCACCTTGAGCAGATCTAAAGAACCACAGAGTTCATTTTTTCTAGGCTAAGGTTCGGATCTGTCTTACTTAGGATATCTTCCCAGCTTGTTTCATTTAGGACATAGTTGACTTGTTCCCATTGTATGCTTTTGTTATTGAAGTTGAATTTTGTGAAGACACCTTCATGACTGATCACATTTTGCTGGTCAGGAGACCTGTGCATACATGTCTGTATCTTTATGTTGTGATCTGAGTGTATTGTCTTTGATACTGTTATATTACTTATCAGATCGTCGTTGTTAGTGAAGATGAGGTCCAGCGTATTGTCTAGTCTTGTAGGTCTAATATTTGCTGGTTTAATGTGACCTTGGTGCAGAGATTTAATAGCTCGTGTGTGTGTGTGAATTTTCGTCTGAGCTGCCTCCTGGGGTGATCTCTGCTACTACATTGTTTGCTATACTCCTCCATTTTAGGTGCTTCAAGTTGAAATCTCCCAGTAGCAAGATGTTTGGGGCAGGAGTTGGGAGATTTTCCAGACAGTGGTCAGTTTTCACAAGCTGCTCCTGGAATTGCTGGGAAGTTGCAACTGGAGGCTTGTATACTACCAGAATGACAAGGTTTTGGTTTTCAATCTTTACCGCCAAAACTTCAGCTACATCATTTGAGGAGTTTAGTAGTTCTGAGCAAATGAGCGACTCTGACATACAGGCCAACTCCCCCCCCCCATCCCTCCCTGTTGCCTGTTTAGTCTGTCACATCGGAATAGGTTATAACTTGGGATCAATATTTCGTTGTGATAATGATCCTTAATGTGGGTCTCTGTGAATGCTGCAAACATTGCATTCAACTCCGTGAGCAGCCCCTTGATGTAAGGAATTTCGTTGCTCATTGACATTTTTAGACCCTGTATGTTTGCAAAGACAAATGTCGTTGTGTGTGTTGTTCTGGAGTATAGGCCAATGACTGTGCCTCTGCTCCACAAGTGTTTTCAGTTGGTGTAGGATTTCTGTCACTTCTTGCCAGTCTTTTTTCCCTCCTGGCACTAGAAAACCACCTTCTCTGGAGAGGTTATGACTCCCCTTCTTTGTTCCCCATAGTCTGGCTGGTCTGTGTCTTCTTGTTCCCTTTAGATGATGTGTCTGGCAGTATACGTTGTAGCATTTTCTATAATAGACTGACGAGTGACATTTCGTGGTGAAAAGTTACAGAAAGGGGAACTGCACCCTCCTTTTGTCATGTGGGTGTGGCATAATTTGGGATGGTCAAAGATGCATGTCCCACCTGTTTTACCAGATATACCATGCCTGCAGATACCCAAGGCATGGAAATTGCATAGATTGGAATTTTGTTTGCTATAATTTTTTTTGTGTGGTTGCATTCTCTGCTGGTGCATTTTTTTTTGTTTACCCTCTACCTACCACACCTGTTTTTGCTGGTAATGTGTCAACACTATTCCCTGAGGCATCATCTCCTTTCGTTCCATCTCCAGCAATATCGCTATTTTGCACTTCTGTAAAATGAATAACGTTGTCCTTATCTGTTTCGTATGTGATAGTTACCTTGGGCCTTCATACATGGTAATCTTGTGCCTACATACATAGTTTAGTTGGACTATACATAGTTACCTAGGGCTATACAGAGTTACCTTGGCACTCCAGTAGTAGTTCCAACCAACAATGAGTTTATCCTTGTCTAGGCAGAACCCGCCAGATGGCAGCACCAAGTTGGCCTCACAGAAGAGTTTGTTCAGTAGCATCAGTGTCCTCTGGTGGCCCTCTTGCAGCTCTCTCTGTGGGAGTCCACAGTAAAGAAAACATTAGCACCAGTGAACCACAACCTGGACAAGCCATTTAAACATGTACCCTAAACCACACTAATATATCATTTAAGCATTGAAACTACAGCAGAATGAATCATTAAAATTCACATGTTGATGAGTGAGACACATACAATAATCATTTTGATTTCTGCGTGTACAAGTTATACAGACCATAGGTGACATCAGTGACATACTACTATATAGAATTGAGACACTTATGCAACACATGGGAATCTTTATTGAAGAAACGTTTCACCACACAGTGGCTTCATCAGTCCAATACAAAGTAGAAGTGGGTAAGGAGAGGAGAAGTTCGAGGTAATCAGTCCCTCAACCTGGAATCGATGTGTTCAGTCCATCAATCTTGTAGGAAAAGCAGCATAGGGCCAGAGAGGTGGCTTATATATTGCAGTCAGGTGAGGTGGTTCAAAGACTTCAACTCTTGCCCAACCTTTGGACGACGACCCACTTACACTAGTGGCAGGTCCCACTGTGATCCCGCCTCCTCCTGCTTCACCTCATCTGACTCCAGTATATAAGCCACCTCTCTGGCCCTATGCTGTATTTCTTAAAAGAGAGATGGACTGAACACATCGATTCCAGGCAGAGGGACTGATTACCTCAAACTTCTCCTCTCCTTACCCATTTCTACTTTGTGTTGGACTGATAAAGCCACTGTGTGGCGAAACGTTTCCTCAATAAAGATTCCCATGTGTTCCATAAGTGTCTCAATTCTTCAACTTGTCGGTTTTCTAAGCCATTCATCACATACTGCTATATAGAATGTCGCTTCTTATGCAGAGCATTTCCCGCAAATTACCGCCCACAGGATGGGTATGGGGTGACTACCACCCACAGGATGGGTATGGGGTGACTACCACCCACAGGATGAGTATGGGGTGACTACCACCCACAGGATGGGTATGGGGTGACTACCGCCCACAGGATGAGTATGGGGTGACTACCACCCACAGGATGGGTACGATGGGGTGACTACCGCCCACAGGATGAGTATGGGGTGACTACCACCCACAGGATGGGTATGGGGTGACTACCGCCCACAGGATGAGTATGGGGTGACTACCACCCACAGGATGGGTACGATGGGGTGACTACCGCCCACAGGATGGGTATGGGGTGACTACCACCCACAGGATGGGTATGGGGTGACTATCGCCCACAGTATGGGTATGATGGGGTGGCTACCGCCCACACAATGGGTATGGGGTGACTACAACCCACAGGATGAGTATGGGGTGACTATCGCCCACAGTATGGGTATGATGGGGTGGCTACCGCCCACACAATGGGTATGGGGTGACTACCACCCACAGCATGGGTATGATGATGTGACTACCACCCACAGGATGGGTATGATGGGGTGACTACCACCCACAGGATGGGTATGGTGGGGTGACTACCACCCACAGGATGGGTATGATGATGTCTAGCCACACAGGATGGGTATGATGGGGTGATTACCACACACAGGATAGGTATGATGGGGTGACTACCACACACAGGATGGGTATGATGGGGTGACCACCCACTGGATGGGTATGATGGGGTGACTACCACCCACAGGATGGGCATGATGGGGTGACTACCACCCACAGGATGGGGAGATGGGGTGACTACCACCCACAGGATGGGATAGATGGTGACTACCACCCACAGGATGGGCTATGATGGGGTGACTACCACCCACAGGATGGGTTATGATGGGGTGACTACCACCCACAGGATGGGTAGATGGGGTGACTACCACCCACAGGATGGGTGTGGGGTGACTACCACCACAGGATGGGTATGATGGGGTGACTACCACCCACAGGATGGGTATGATGGGGTGACTACCACCCACAGGATGGGTATGATGGGGTGACTACCACCCACAGGATGGGTAGATGGGTGACTACCACCCACAGGATGGGTAGATGGGGTGACTACCACCCACAGGATGGGTACGATGGGGTGACTACCACCCACAGATGGGTACTGGTGGGGTGACTACCACCCACAGGTATGGGTGTGGGGTGACTACCACCACACAGGATGGGTATGGGAGGTGACTACCACCCACAGGATGGGTATGATGAGTGTGCTACCACCCACAGGATGGTATGTGGGTGATACCGCCATAGATGGGTATGGTGGGGTGACTACCACCCACAGGATGGGTATGGATGGGATGCTACCACCCACAGGATGGGTATGGTGGGGTGACTTACCACCACAGGATAGGTATGGTGGGGTGACTACCACCACAGGATGGGTTATGATGATGTGGACTACCACCCACAGGATGGGTATAGGTGGGGTGACTACCCCCACAGGATGGGATGATGGGGTGACTACCACCCACAGGATGGGGATGATGGGGTGACTACCCCCACAGGATGGGTATGTGGGGTGACTACTGCCCACAGGATGGGTATGGTGGGGTGACTACCGCCCATAGGATGGGTATGATGGGGTGACTACCACCCACAGGATGGGTATGGTGGGGTGACTACCACCCACAGGATGGGTGGTGGGGTGACTACCACCCACAGGATGGGTATGGTGGGGTGACTACCACCCACAGGATGGGTATGATGGTGACTACCACCCACAGGATGGGTATGATGGGGTGACTACCACCCACAGGATGGATATGGGGTGACTACCACCATCAGGATGGGTATGGGGTGACTACCACCATCAGGATGGGTATGGGGTGACTACCACCCAGATGGTATGGCGTGATTACCACCCACAGGATGGGTATGTGGGGTGACTACCACCACAGATGGGTACGATGGGTGACACCACCCACAGGATGGGTATGGTGGGGTGACTACCACCACAGGATGGTATGATGGGGTGACTACCACCACAGGATGGGTATGGTGAGGTGACTACCCCCAAGATGGGTATGGTGGGGTGACTACCACCCACAGGATGGGTATGGTGGGGTGACTACCGCCCATAGGATGGGTATGATGGGGTGACTACCACCCACAGGATGGGTATGGTGGGGTGACTACCACCCACAGGATGGGTATGGTGGGGTGACTACCACCCACAGGATGGGTATGGTGGGGTGACTACCACCCACAGGATGGGTATGATGATGTGACTACCACCCACAGGATGGGTATTGTGGGGTGACTACCGCCCACAGGATGGGTATGGTGGGGTGACTACCACCCACAGGATGGGTATGATGGGGAGACTACCGCCCACAGGATGGGTATGGTGGGGTGACTACTGCCCACAGGATAAGTATGGTGGGGTGACTACCGCCCATAGGATTGGGTGACTACCGCCCACAGGATAGGTATGATGGGGTGACTACCACCCACAGGATGGGTATGATGATTTGACTACCACCCACAGGATGGGTATGATGGGGTGACTACCACCCACAGGATGGATATGGGGTGACTACCACCATCAGGATGGGTATGGGGTGACTACCACCATCAGGATGGGTATGGGGTGACTACCACCATCAGGATGGGTATGGCGTGATTACCACCCACAGGATAGGTATGATGGGGTGACTACCACCCACAGGATGGGTAGATGGGTGACTACCACCCACAGGTGGTAAAGCCTGTACTATCTGCACCGACAGCCCATGGCTGTCTGCAGCTTAGTTCATATTCGCCAGATCAAGTGTTGCCCTGTAGCTAGCCACCCCATGGGCATGGCAGCCTGCCTGCCCATGCATCGCTCACTCTGGGTGACACCCTTGCAAGCAGTCAAGACTATAGGCCAGTAGCTCTCCTCACGATGGGATGGCCCTGCCCGGGCCATGGCACAAACACAGCCTAACCCACCACGACTTACAATAAGTAAAGCCTCTGAAGGACGTATCATTTACTCCACGCTACAGAACGCAAAAAAATGGGTATAAAAGATGGGAAGCGTGGTCGCAGCAGTTGTTGCCCAGGAGGGAATGAAGATGAAGTCATCTTCACTTCGTCATCCCATGCAGAGCATCGTCGGTCATCGGTGTATCCTGATGCGGTCTGCGAGATTTGAGCATACCAACTCAGGATAGCAGGATCAGCGAAATTTACCGAATTTCCCTTCAGAATTGGTAAGTGGTGTTCACGTGACCCCATGCTAAGAGTCGTGCCACGCTGTTTCCTCAGTCACGTGTTTGAGCCGTCACTATGGTAGTTCTGCTGTGTATCACTCATACAGCTGTTTCAGCAAGCCAGAGGTATGATTATTTGAGAATCTGCATCCAGTTGTCCCTAGGTTTGGGGTGGATGGAGGAGGAATGCCAGGCTCCCACCCAACCACAGTCTGGATATGGGGTACACTACCCACCATCAGTGGGTTTTTGTGTTTACCTTAACATCAGATGGTAATGGTGACTCCACCATCAGGATGGTTATGGCGTGATTACCACCCACAGGGTAGGTATGATGGGGGGACACCACCCACAGATGGGTAATGGGTACTACCACCCAAGGTGTAACACCTGTACGTCTGCACAGACAGCCCAGCTGTCCCAGCTTTTGTTTCAATTTCGCGCCCTTCAATGTTGCCCTCTTGCTAGGCCTTCCCGTGGGCATGGCAGCCCCGCCCTTCCTCCTCCCACTCTGGGGACCCCTTAAGCAGTCAAAACAAGGCCTAGTAGTCTCTCTCGTGGGGTGGGCCCGCCCGGCCTGGCACAACACACAACCTGTGTACCCCCACACTTAACAAAAAAGTAAAAGCCTCGAAGACGTACTTTACTCCCCCGTACCAGAACCCAAAACAAAAGGGTTTTTAAAAATGGAAACGGGGTCGCACAGTTTTTTGCCCAGAGAGAGGAAGGAAGGAAGAAGTCATCTTCACTTCGTCACCCATGCAAGAAGCATCCGCTCTCCCGCGGTTTCCTGATGTCGGGCGCACATTTTAGCACCAGACTCAGGGATAAGCAGGGTCCAGCCGAAATTTTCCGAATTTCTTCGAGAATTGTAAGTGGT